TAGAATTTCTATACTTAACGAATATTATTAGAAATTCATATTGTCTCTTTGTTCCAGTCCCACAGAATCTCATTATGTAAAACACACTTATTTGATACCTCTATATATAACGATGCGGATAAACTTATTCCATTCTTCATGGGAATAACATGTTTTAATATTGTTTTAGTTAAAGATTCTAAACTTCAGTTAAATTCATTATGGACTAATTTCTATTATTATCCTTAGATATTATCCTCTAGTATATAACACTTTATACCATATTTAAGATCACATAAATAATAGCTAAATTTTCAGTGATATTCATAAAGTATATAACAATACATTCACATAAATAATGAAATTTCTATTTTATTAATTAAATAATAAAATCTAAAATCACATCACATGTTTTTGGACACCATTCCCAATATATTAGCATGCTCAGCTATCCATTTCATCATATTTCTAAGATACAAGGAATATGATTTAAAATACGTCAAAAAACATGAATTTATAAATAAGAGTCTACTAACAACTCAAGATTAAGATCATTCTATATATAACCATCGGTAGACTCAAATTTGATTTTCTATACTGAACAGAAATTATCACAAAATCCAAATTGTATTTGTGTCTCAGTTCTACATAATTTTATTATGTATAATACACTTATTCAATATCCCTCTATATTAATGATGCGGATAACATCATTCCATTCTTAATGAGAATGGCGTGTATTAGTAATAATTTAATTAAAGATTCTGTAACTTTAATTAAATTTATTACGAACAGTATTTTGATTATTATCCTTAAAGATTATCCTCTCGTATATAACACTTATATACAATATTTAAGGTCACATAAATAATCACACTTAGAAACTCCCTCACACACACTCTCTCTCTCTTTCTCCCCCTCCATTACGCACGGCCACCACCTCTGTTGAACCATCTGACATCGGTTTTGGACTCCTTCTGGCCTGTTGGAAAGCTCTCGTCAAGTTGAGTCGGGAACCGTGCTTAGCCGTTGCGTCCACCGCCAGACGAAGTTGTAGTTGCCGGAGAAAGTTCTGAAAACACCGAAACTTCTTATTGTCATAACTTCATCATCTAACCTCCGATTGGAGCGATTATGGTCTCTATAGACTGAAAGCAACAAGAAGAACACAAAACATATATGGAATTTGCCATCAATCCTCACCGAAACAGCCATGCCGGAGCTGTCCTCCATGACTGTCTGCCACCACTTGGAAAACCACCATCCCGAGGATGGTGAAGTGCACCACCCCCACCATTTTACTCAAGGAAGTATGGGCTTCGAAAACCCCTCAAGTAATTTTGATATTAGAGTGTTGGAGAGCCGTTGTCCACGTCAGGGATTTTGATTGGAATTTTTGGGTTTAATCTACTCTGATATGGGCTCAAATGAGTAAAATTGACCTCGCACTTAGGTTCATGAGTCGAGAGCTATTAGGATCTGAAGCACCAGCCTCGCTGCAGGCAGTCAGATTTTGGTGAGCTCAATTTTGTGTTTTCTGGACCCCAATCGACAAGTTGAGACCACTCCCTAACTTGTTTCGCTGTGCTGAACACAATGGCGACCTCCATTTGAATGAATTCCACTTTTATGAAAAAATCATCTAGTACCAGTTGCACGTAAATTGGGGCAGAGCCGACCAGTGAAACAGAGACACATTAGTGATTCTGATTGCTCGTCTGACCTGTATGACTCGTTCCTAACCAGCCACAGTCCCTACGGGACCTATATCAAGGTAGGGGTTCTATTACTCAATTTTTGTGAAATTTTATTTAACTAATTAGTTAATTTTAAGAAAGATAAATTGTATATTATATTTTGTTATTATTATATATAGTATCACCTGAACAAACAAATAGTGAGCCTGTCTTGTAGTATACAGCGTGGCCAAGTGATTTGATATGGTTAAGAAAGATTGACTTAGAAGCATATGGTTAGGTGATTTAACCGGATACGACAGTGAGAGGTTGGGCGTTTATCATCCTTGGGTGCAAGCCCTAAAAGTAAAAGTAGAGGAGAGGTGTCGAGGCTCTTCGGGGTGTGAATCCCTGAGTTACTATATAGTAGTTACGTCATGGCGAGAGTTTGTGATGACGATCCACCCTTACTCGTGGTTCGAGGATTAATCTGGTAGGGACATCGGGATAGACCTTATTGAGTCACCGCGCCCTTCGGAGTTTCTACTTCTATAGAGCACGAATTTGATTGTTGTATGGGTGCCATCACGTGATTACTATATATGTATTATCGATAATTTATTGTAAAATGAAGAGAGTAACAATGAAGATTTAATACAGTAAATTAATAAAACTAAAAAGTGTGTAATTGTTCTCCTATTGGGCATTATATTTTCATCCCCTTATTTCACTTCTCAGGCAGAGTACAATGTAACATATCTGATGAGGAGTACATGCCCCGCTGTAAGCGACGTGTTGGTCTTCTTCTAGTTATCTAGGTTCTCCTCTTTGAATTATATAACATTTTAAGGGCTTGTTCTTTTGGAGTAAGACTAAAAAAAAGTTTGAACTTAAGTTACAACTTTATTCAAGTTCATGTTCGTTTGTAAAATTTGAGTTTGAACTTGAGTTTTAACTCGAGTTTGGGACTAAAATCTGAGTTCAAGTTTCCCTTTCAATTCAAGTTCTTAAACTCAAACTCAAGTTAATGAATAATATTTCTTCTATTCTTAAAACCGTTATAACTTTTTCGTTGTAATTCTGATTTAGATGATTTTTTTTTCTATGCGTTCAAAATGAAGAGACGAATAAAATCTCACCCATATACCTGATTAACGCCCAAAAGTGATATTCACAAGCGGTCAATTGTAGCACAGAAGGGCGGTCGTATCCACAGAGAGATAACAAAATAACAAGAATGATTAACAGAATAAGAGCGTTAGAGAAAAGTGAAATAAAGAAAAATGAGAGTTTTTGAGACTTTTGTTGCAAATAAAATAAAAAGGAGAAAATATGTACGAAGAAAACGGTAAGATGTCGAGAATCCCTAATGCTTCGTTCACCAATTCAAGTTTTGATTCACAATATTAAATAACCGAATAAATTAAATCTGTATGTTGACTCCAGAAATATTATTATTACAAGTTATCTAAAATCGACAATATATCAATCTGACAATATTGCAGTAAAAGACAATTTGTAAAATAATTTGAATAACAAAACATTGCGTGATAGAATTACATAAGAAAAGCGTGACTGAACTTATATAAAAATTGGCACACAATATTTTAAAAAATAATAGAAAAATAGATGAGATTTAATTCATTCAGATGTTGAAGTTTACAGAACAAGGAATCAAAACCCCAAATTGGGTCACTCAACAGAAGTTCATCTCTAACCTCACCAAGAAAACTCTAGCCTATCTTGCAAAACATTCTCACAAGTTCTAAAGAGAAAATATGAGACTGACAGCAAGACGACAGAAAACTGAATAAATAAAAGCTCCTTAAACCTTAGGCCAACCCCTCTATTTATAGTGTTTAGAGGTTACCTGTCAAACAAGAAAATAAATTGTAAGACTAGAAAATTACAAAAGAAAAGGAAACAAAATAAAATTACACATAAATTAGGAGAAATCACATATTTAATTTGGGGAAGAAATCTGGTAATTTGCTTTGATTTTTAGGGAAGTTCGGATTCAGCCTTCATCTGGACACGTGTCGAAGCTTGATTGGAGGAAAGGAATAAGGCCACCACGTGTCGTGCGCGGAGTGAAGAAAGGGAGCTGGCCGTTGGAGACAGCTGGGACCCGCTCGGACAGCTGGCGTGCGCAGAGGGAAGGAGCAGGCTGTCAGCGCAGGTGCGAGACCCACGCGGTGGGAGATTCAGACGCGCTGGAGACCGCACGGAAGAAGAACGCGCGCCTTGGCAGGCCGGCGTGCTGGTGACGCGCGAGAGATGGAGTGGGGAACGTGGGAGAAAGCTGGGCACACGCAGAGGCTCGGCTTGATGGCTCAATAGGCTGACGCAATGGGCTGACGCGGCTCTTGGCTCGTGTGGCTTAATTTTGACTCATTGAACATGGCTTTCATGGCTTCTTCTTGTGTAGAGTTTTACACTGCTTTTCATCCGTAAATAATTAAGTAAAAACTAGACAAATTCTAATTAAAAATATTATGAATAAAATAATGGAATTGTTTAATTAAAGCTTAAATATTTTAATATTATGTAAGTCAAAAGCAATATTTAGGGTGCATTTTCATGCACTTATCAATACCCTATTAAAATTTTTCATGTTTATTAAAATACTATCTAAATACAAATATAAGTTTTGACACACTCAAACACAAACTCAAATAGATTCTCAATTCAAATCATAACTCAAATGTGCACATCAAAACACAAACTCAAGTTATAACTTCAATTCAAATTTAACTTAAGATCTGTACTCAAATCACAATAACTCCAAAATACAACCGAATAAGCCCTAAGACTTCCTAAACTTTGACAGTGTTAGATTATATTATGCGTTGATTGAGATTTGACCAATGAGGATTGTACTATTTATTTTTTATTTGGTGCTACACTGTATTGTGAACTTTTATTTTTATCATTATTATATTGTCATGTGGATGTCTTATTTTGGAAATTTTTGTTTAAAGTCCTATGGGCACTTTTTTTTTTTTTTTTTTTTTTTTTTGTAGATTTGATAATTACATAATAACTTTATTTCATTTATTTCTCATTATTTTATTTAAATTGCATAATTCTCACTTAAGAGCGTTACAATACATTAAAAGAAATTAAAAAACAAATAACTAAATACAATTTCAAAAACATTTTTAACTATTTTTAAAATATTTTTATTTTCATTTTCATACTCAAAATAAATTTATTTTGAAAATACGAAAGTTTGAGAATTTTTTAAAAAATAAATTTAAATCTTTCTATGAGAAAATACTATTGTAAAGTTTGAATAGGAAAATAACGGGGCTAAGCTTCTCGACATGGAACGTCAACCTTGGTAACCGAACGAACTGTACATCTGCAACCGCACTCGAATCGGGTCCGGTAGCCTCTTATCCAATTCATTTTATTTCCTTTATTAACGGACAATCCATTGGCGGTTGGCGCCATTTTCGACGAGAGAAGAGAAGCGGAGAACACAGTAAGCTATCATGCTCCTCCCATCACCGGATTGCCTCTCCTCTCTCCGCCTCGTTCACAGACCCACTCTTCTTCTCTTCCCCAGCAACTCCAGTTTCAGCTCTCTGGTGAGTCGAACTCGGACGAATCGACTCTGTAGAGCGAGTCTCATCACCAACTCCGACTCGTTCGAGGTCGGACGGCTTATTGGCAGCTATGGCTTCATGAATGTAACTAGGTATTCTTCCTTAAAGCTTGGATTGTTTAACGAAACTTTCTGTTTGGCTTGCGAGAAAATGAAAAGGAAAAAAAATATGTAGTTTGAATTTTCAAAAGAGTTGCAGCTTAAAGTTTGAATTTTCCTTGCTGTTAGACTTTTCCGTGTATTTGGGAGCTATTCCTCGCTTAAAGTTTATGTTTGGCGTGTGAGAAAATAATGGAAAGGAAGAATTTATAACTAACCGAGCTTAGGGAGGGTTTTAATTAGGTCGTAATTCTCCAATTTTCCTTGGTTTTTTTGAACTTTTCCAAGTACAATTTTCTTATTCCTGGCTTGTTTGACGATGAAATTAAGCATTGCAAGTGAAAGAAAGTAAAATTGAAAATAAGAATATTCCCTTCCTTATTATGTATATTGTTGCAGTTCTTTAACTTTTGTTGGTAGTGGTTTGAAAGCAATTTGATTGCAATGCAATGTAAAAAATAAATAAAAAATAAAAAATTTTGCTTTTTGGTTCTTAATTTCCTGATTTCTTTTTCTGCTCCGAAAGCTATTCCGGTTTTCCATCGAATGCGGATGGTGAATACTCATCCGGAGATATGGGGCAACTGAGAGTTCAAGACGTTGAAGAAGGCAGTGTAAAGATCAGGTAGAATTTTTCAAAGGAATTCATGCCTAAGTGAAATGGAAAATAGGCTTTTCTATGGTTTGAAATGGGAAGTAGGTTTTTTTTTTTTTTTTTTTTTTTTTTTTTTTTTTTTTTTTCATTGTTGTTGATCCTGATAGTACTCATGGCAGCTCTTTTGCAGGCTTTATGAAGGGAGAGTCTCTCAGGGCCCCCTTCGAGGAACACCAGTTGTTTTCAAGGTGATACTGATTTCACATGGTCACGGGTCTCTCCATTTTGTCGCTAGCCGTTCACTTCGATGCAATAGATTCAACTAATATGGGATTTTTAACCATGAAGGTTTATCCGGGACAACGAGCAGCTGGAATTGAGGCTGATATGATGGCTGCAAATGAGCTAAATGCTCATACATTTCTTCAAGTGATATACTATTTTATATATCCAGCTGATAATTGCATGCTCCTTTCGTAATTACTTTCACCGCAATGAGTAAACAGGTCGTGGTGATTCTTTTCGTGTGAATATAAATTGTTGCAGAGTAGTTCAGATGGTATCTGTCAGAATCTTCTGATACTCATAGGTGGATTTGAAACAACAACTGGAGAGCAGGTTTATTTGATGAACTAAAGTATTTTCATTTATGAAAGTTTGATTTCTATTTTGTATGAGGTAATCAAGAAAATAATTCTCTGCAGTGGCTTGCTTTTCGTAATGATGGGAAATATAGTGCAGCAGACTATGGAAAGATTGCGAGTGAAAAGGTGTCAAAGATTCGTTCTTTGGGAGAATCAGCGTCTTGGAATCGTTTTGAAGAAGAAGAAAGAATCAAACGTAGGAGGAATTTCATTATCAGGCTGTTTCAAGGTGCTATGAAAGGTCTAGCTTATATGCACAAACATGACAGATTACACCAGAGTCTTGGACCCTCTTCAATTGTTCTAAAGTATGTTTATATATTCCTTGACATCTTCCCAGTGTAAATTATTTCAAGACCCTTCTTTTCACTCTTTTACTTCTACTCAAAGTTTGGATGATGAATGACAGCACGATTGCAGAAAGAGAAGCTGCTTACCTAGTCCCTCGACTTCGAGATCTAGCCTTCTCTGTTGATATAAGGTAAAGTTATTGTGACCTAAATTAAGACTTCCTTGAGCAATAATATACGGATCCTATTACATTCTGTCGAAAAGATAAGAGATAATTAGTTAGGGATGATTAAGATAAGTTTTAGATTAGGATATGCTTAAAGTCAAATAAAACAATCTGTTTCAAACAGATTCGTTATCCTAGGTTTAGATAAGTTTGAATTTAAATTTTATTAGGATAGATGTTATTGAGTGGATAGGATTTTATCCGTGGCACTCCTAGGGCTATTTATACATATTTTTACCGATTAAATCAATAATAATAGAAGAGTTTTTCCCTTCAAAACTTACATGGTATTAGAGCCGTGGCTGATCTTGAGTGCCAAAGATTAAGACAGCTATGACCGGGGCAGTTAAAGGCTCCTTATTGACTGGAGAAGTTGCCGAGAGTGCTGTAGCAGTTCAGAATTCCCTACAACTAACGACTCACAAGTTGAATGGAAAGAACTACCTCGAATGGGCACAGGCGGTTAAACTTGTTATAGATGGAAAAGGGAAACTAGGACACTTGACTGGTGAGGTGAAGAAACTAGCAGATGATGACTCCAAACTCAAAGCATGGAGATCCGAAAACTCCATGATTACAGCCTGGCTTACCAATTCTATGGAGCCGGCAATAGGGAAACCATTCTTATTTATTCCCGGGGGTACATAGAAAATGAGACTCAATTTTTTTACTGCTTTTTTATATATTATATAAGCTGTTTTCTTTCACTCATATAACTATCTGATTTAGTTCATCCATCCAAATAATGAATAAAAGATGAAGATATTTACTCAATTCATTCCGGCCTTTTCCTAGAAAAGAAGAAATAGAGAACAATTTATGTCTTAACGAATCGCACGTGAAGAAACTAGCAGATGATGACTCCAAACTCAAAGCATGGAGATCCGAAAACTCCATGATTACAGCCTGGCTTACCAATTCTATGGAGCCGGCAATAGGGAAACCATTCTTATTTATTCCCACTGTCAAGGAGTTATGGGAAGCTGTCCCCTCCCCAATCTTCGAACTCAAGACTTGGCTATGTGTGATACTTGTAGAGAGAGGAAGATGAACGAGTGTACATGTTTCTTGCAGGACTTAACCGTAAATTAGATGAAGTACGAGGGAGAATTCTAAGTCGAAAACCACTGCCAAACATACGAGAGGTTTTCTCGGAAGTAAGGAGAGAAGAGGCGCGAACAAACGTCATGATGAACAAGTCAGAAATCACACCTGAAACTGAAAGCTCAGCACTGACTTCCAAAGGCCCAGAAGTAAATGGAGACAGAAGGAACTCAAGGCGAACAGAGAAACCTTGGTGTGATCACTGCAAGAAGGCATGGCATACACGGGAGACGTGTTGAAAACTACATGGAAAACCTCCAAACTGGAATAAAAAGAGAGATAACCGTACATTCCAGGCTTCCAATGAAGATTAAGGGCAACGGTCTTCCTCAGAAAAGCTCTCAATCACAAAGGAACAATTAGACACTATGTAAAAATTCCTTCAGTCTTCCAATCTATCAGTAAATCCCTCACCCTCGTGTTCTTTAGCCCAGAAAGGTAACTACCTCACCACTGCCTTAGTAAGTGTCAGTCCTAATTCCAGTCACCCATGGATCATAGATTCAGGGGCAACTAGGTGTGATCACTGCAAGAAGGCATGGCATACACGGGAGACGTGTTGAAAACTACATGGAAAACCTCCAAACTGGAATAAAAAGAGAGATAACCGTACATTCCAGGCTTCCAATGAAGATTAAGGGCAACGGTCTTCCTCAGAAAAGCTCTCAATCACAAAGGAACAATTAGACACTATGTAAAAATTCCTTCAGTCTTCCAATCTATCAGTAAATCCCTCACCCTCGTGTTCTTTAGCCCAGAAAGGTAACTACCTCACCACTGCCTTAGTAAGTGTCAGTCCTAATTCCAGTCACCCATGGATCATAGATTCAGGGGCAACTAACCATATGACAGGATCTGCAAACCTATTTGTCTCATATACTCCATGTGCAGGGAATCAAAAAGTAAAAATAGCTGATGGATCTCTTTCAGCTATAGCTGGAAAAGGTTCAATTGTTATTTCACCGTCTATTACCCTTCGTGATGTCTTGCATGTCCCTAAACTGTCATGTAACCTTTTATCAATCAGTAAATTGATCCATGATATGAATTGTCAAGCTCACTTTTTTCCGTCTCATTGTGAATTCTAGGAATTGAACTCGGGGAAGACGATTGGCAGTGCTAAACAGAAACGAGGACTCTATTTCTTTGAAGATGGATCGGCCTTGACAAGACAAGCCCAAGGCACTTGTTTCAATTCTATTTCTATTTCTAGTAAAAATAAAGTCATGCTATGGCACTTAAGGTTAGGACATCCTAGTTTCTATTATCTAAAGTATTTGTTTCCTAGTGTATTTATCAATAAAAATCCATTTTCTTTTCAATGTGAAATTTGTGAGTTAGCAAAACACCACCGTGCATCCTTCCCTTCACAGCCATATAAACCTACTGAACCTTTCTCTATGATTCATAGTGATGTTTGGGGAGCTTCTCGGGTAACAACACAATCAGGAAAAAGGTGGTTTATCACATTTATTGATGATCACACTAGGATAACATGGGTGTACTTGTTAAAAGAAAAATCTGATGCCGAACAAGCTTTCAAGGATTTTCATAATATGGTAAAAACTCAATTTAAGGCTCAAATTAAAATCTTTCGAAGTGATAATGGGAAAGAATACTTTAACAAGATTCTAGGAAAACACTTTGCAGAAAATGGCATTATACATCAAAGCTCATGCAACGATACTTCCCAGCAAAATGGAGTATCGGAAAGGAAGAATAAGCATCTCCTTGAAATTGTTAGAGCCCTACTTTTTACAACTAGAGTACCTACATACTTGTGGGGAGAAGCCATACTTACAGCCACCTTCTTGATCAATCGAATGCCCTCAAAAGTTTTACAATTCCAAACTCCAATTCATGTTTTTAATAAATGTTTTCCCACATCATGATTAATAAACAATATTCCATTAAAAATATTTGGATGCACTGCATTTGTACACATTCACAATCATAATCGTGGAAAACTTGAACAAAGGGCCAGAAAATGTGTTTTCGTTGGCTACTCGCCAACTCAAAAGAGATATAAGTGTTTTGACCCAATTTCTCGAAAATATTTTGTTACAATGGATGTAACCTTTTTCGAAACAAAACCATTCTTTGGAGGTGATCATCGTCAGGGGGAGAATAGGAGTGAAGATAACAACCTTAGACATTCTTTTGAGGATATTCTTCACATTGAACATACTACCCTAGACTCGGTTCTTAGTCCACAAGACCGAGACACACAATGCACTGCACCTGCACCTGACCGAGACACAATGCACTGCACCTGGCACTGCACCTGCACCTGCACCTGGCACTGCACCTGCACCTGCACCTGGCACTGGACCAAATCATTGAAAAAGATAATCCATCTCCTGAAAACTTGGATTCAGAAAATTCAGATAATGGAAACTATGAACAATTCTCTTCTTTGCTTGAACAAGACCACTTAGAAATAGAGATGTGTGCGAAACCAAGTGAAAATGATATTGGGTTTCGTGTCTACTCAAGGAAGAAAAATCGTCAAAGGAAAGAAGACACCAATGTACAGAAATGCCATGAGTCCAATTCGAGGGAACTTTCAGATCCCGAGTCACTAGGTAAAACTCCTTTGATTCCTCGTGTCTAAGTCCGATGAATCCTTAGAAATTCCTATAGCCCACAGGAAAGGTATTAGGTCATGCACTAAACATCCTCTATCTAGATTTGTGTCCTATGACAGATTATCACCATCCTTTCATACTTTCACCTCGCAACTTTACAGTGTCGAAGTTCCTAGAAATGTGCAGGAAGCATTAGTTGTTCCAGAATGGAGGGCAGCAATTCTTGAGGAGATGAAGGCTCTTGACAAAAATGAGACATGGAGTGTGGTAGATCTTCTAGAAGGAAAGAAGACAGTAGGCTGCAAATGGGTATTTGTTAGGAACCTAATATTTAGAAGTCTTTTTCAATAGTCTTAAGGGGAGTATAAATAGGGGTTTAGTTGTTAGGGAGGGGGGATGGATTTGGAGAGTGTCTAGTGCTGTGCACTATTTTGGAGGTTGGGCGTCCTCAAAACCGCTCATCTATCTTGTAATTTTCCATTTCTAGTGTTGTTAATGAAGCTCAGATTTTCGGGTTCCTAACAATATTCACAGTCAAATATAACGCTGATGGGACCTTAGATCGATATAAGGCAAGGCTGGTAGTCAAGGGATTCACTTAGACCTATGGCATAGACTATTCAGAGATATTTGCACCGGTTGCAAAGCTAAACACAGTAATGGTGCTTATCTCAATTGCAGTCAACTTGGATTGGCCACTACAACAACTGGATGTAAAAAATGCATTCCTAAATGGAAATTTGGAAGAGGAAGTCTACATGGAGCCGCCTCCAGGATTTGACAAGAGATTCGGCTCAAAAGTCTGTAAGTTAAAGAAATCCTTGGATGGTCTCAAACAATCACCGGGAGCATAGTTTGAGAAATTCACCCAATCCGTAAAAAAAATGAGGATACACTCAGGGACAGGCAGATCACACAATGTTAATGAAGTTCTCAGGGGGGAATGTAGCTATCCTAATTGTCTGTGGATGACATTATCCTCACTGGAGATGATTTGTTAGAGATGGACAGGCTCAAAAAATGTCTAGCATCTAAGTTTGAAATCAAAGATTTGGGGTCGTTGAGATACTTTCTAGGTATGGAGGTTGCTTGATCAAAGCAAGGAATTGTGATTTCTCAAAGGAAGTATGTACTCGATCTCCTAAAGGAGAAAGGCATGACAGGTTGTAGACCCTCTGAAACGCCAATGGAGCCGAATGTGAAACTCGGAGATAGCAAGAAGAAAGTTCCTGTTGACACAACTAGATACCAGAAGTTGGTCAGTAAGCTGATTTATTTGTCACATACGCGTCCAGACATAGCCTTCGCAGTAAGTGTGGTGAGCCAATTCATGCATTCTCCATATGAAGAACATCTAGAAGCCGTATACAAAATCTTGAGATACTTAAAGAGTACTCCAGGAAAAGGATTATTCTTTAAGAAGAATGAAAACGGGGGATTGAAGCCTATATTGATGCTGATTGGGCTGGTTCAAGAATTGATAGGCGGTCTACCTCTGGGTATTGCACGTTTGTGTGGGGTAATCTAGTTACGTGGAGAAGCAAGAAACAGAGCGTAGTGGCTAGGAGTAGTGCGGAAGCAGAGCTATTTCCCAGGGAATCTGCGAAATACTGTAGCTGAAATGTGTGCTTAAGGAATTAAGAAGGCCTATAGAACAACCAATGAGCCTTTACTGCGACAACAAAGCTGCCATCAGCATTGCACACAATCCGGTGCAACATGATTGGATGAAGCATGTGGAAATAGACCGACACTTTATAAAAAGAGAAGCTTGAGACAGGCAGCATATGCTTACCATTTGTCCCGACAACACAACAAATTGCAGATATCCTAACGAAAGGACTCCACAGACCAAAGCACGAATTTCTAATAGGCAAGTTGGGCATGATTGACATCTATGCACCAACTTGAGGGGGAGTGTCGAAAAGGTAAGAGATAATTAGTTAGGGATGATTAAGATAAGTTTTATATTAGGATATGCTTAAAGTCAAATAAAACAAATCTGTTTCAAACAGATTCGTTATCCTAGGTTTAGATAAGTTTGAATTTGAATTTTATTAAGATAGATGTAATTGAGTGGATAGGATTTTATCCGTGGCACTCCTAGGGCTATTTATCCCTATGTTTACCGATTAAATCAATAATAATAGAAGAGTTTTTCCCTTCAAAACTTACACATTCATTGCACAAAATCAGAACAATAACATTTAGTGCTAAAGCCTTTCATTTTCTTAAATTTTGGGAATTGATTCCTAAATACGTCAGGTACCGTGTACCTTAAAACACTTGTGCATCCAATGACTTGGATTATCAGGTATTCATTTCTAGACGAGGATCTCACGTCATCACTCTCGGAAGGACTTTGGAGACGAGCATCCTCTTCTGGTGCCTTTACACCTACGGATAAGAGAGCCTTTGGAATAGCTGTTGACATGTAATTATTGTCGACATCTTGACTTGATTTGAGCAGATTGAAATAGCTACATATTTTTCATTTACTCTTTTTTTTATTATTATTTATTTTGTTTGTTTCATTGCAGATATGAAGCGGGTCTTCTTTTTGCATACCTGGCTTTTGTTCCATTTTGTGAGGCAGGCGTCGTGGATAGCCTCTCTTTGCAGGTATTATATGATGTCACTAGATCGTTGTTTTTTTTTTTTTTTTTTTTTTTTTTTTTTTTGTTGTGCCTGTGTGCGTGAGATATTGGCAAGTCTTCAAACAGTAATCATGTATGTCATGCCCTTGGCTTGGCAGAGGCTTCTGGAGAGCACTTTCAAGCTTGATATTGAAGCTTGTAGAGAGTGAGTTCCTTTCTCTGTCATAGATTTACCGTCGGTTGTAATGAAAAAGATTATTTGTTTAATTAGTTGGTATTTTAAAATTAGAATGCAATTGTTAAGATAACTTCCTTTTGTTAGGTACTGTTTAGCAGACGACCGACTGTTAGATGCTGTGAAGTTTCTGGATCTTGGAGATGGAGCTGGTTGGGAGTTACTTCAGGTTGAATTATATCTCATATCACCAGAATTAATACTAATTCCACTACATCGCTACGGTATAAAATGCTTGATCTATTCTTGAAAGTCTCTTCTCAAATGGATGTTCTTTTTATCTTATGAATTGTGGCGCTCTCATTTTTGCGTTGGATGATAGACAAGGATTGCCTTAGGTGGTTAGAATGTGAAATATGTTTGTTTCTTGATTGTCACCTGAAACATTTCTCTATCCTTCTCTTCTAAAAAACAATGTTGTTCTCTCGTGTGGTTTAGGCAATGTTGAATCCCGACTTCCGGAAACGTCCAGTTGCGGAGGCTGTGCTGAATCATCGATTTGTCACTGGTGCCGGTCAATGAGTTTTATGTTTTGTTGAGAACCAACTCAATAGCTAGATATATTTTGCTACTTGTAAGCTAAATGAAAATTCCGTGCCATGGAAGTGAAATTGAGGTTTCTCCAGGTTTGCTTCATGAAGCATCGTTGCTGTATAGTATAATCTAACAATAAGAGTCGAAGCTCTTTTCGTGGCAGTCGCTAGCCAAAGCTCTACTTATCTCCTTTTTTATTTCTTTTTCTTTTTCTAATATGTTGTCTTTATTTTTTGTAAACTTTTTTTAACATTTTAATTTTGTGATTTTTTAAAAGTATATTGTTCCTCACTTTATTTGTTCTTATTTTATATTTTCTTCAAATGTGTCTTTATTTTATTTTTTTTTCAATTTTTATTTTTATACATATTTCTTTTAGAATAAACTAAAAAATATTGAAATGATTGTATAAATAACCTTCTCATTATTCAATAAATAATAAATTTTTCAGGCATCTCTAACGTGTCTTTGACGTGACAGTACGTGTAGCACATTACAAAATTAGTGTATAATAAAAGAATAATAATAATAATAATAATAATGAGGTTTCTCCGGGCTTGCTTCATGAAGCATCGTTGCTGTATAGTTTCTCCGGGCTTGCTTCATGAAGCATCGTTGCTGTGTATAATAATAATAATAATAATAATAATAATAATAATAATAATAATAAACCCACTCGAACCATACCACATAATAATGGTTGAAATTAAAAAACGTTTTTTCTTCCCCTTCTAAATTGGGCTTTGACAATGTTGATAAATAATCTGCTTGCATAATACCCTCATTTGGTACAGTCCCCCTTCTCTTTTAATTTGTTAATGTGCTATATTTTTTTGTGAATACTTGCTAATGCTATGCGCTCTCATGAAGCAAAGAGCAGAAACCAATTTTCTTTATATATATACACATTATAAATAAAGAAAAATAAAACTTTATCAAGTCAATAATTTTTGAAAACTAAAAGAGTGAGTTGATTAGCGTACGTACTACTGGAGAGATTTTTTTTTTCCTTTTTTAGAAAAAAGAAACTATTGAAACAAATTTTTAACACAATTCTTAAAAAGGCAAAACCTTAATTTGACCAACCAATTAGTTGTTATGAGGTGACTTTTTTTTTTGGCTAATAACATGGCGAGTGTTATTAACCAAAAAAAATTAGGGTTGAGATTGTGCACCAAACTATCTTTCTTCTAGAGTTCAGGACTTGTCCGTGTAATTATTATATGAAAATGTTTTACCTATAATGGTTTCTTTTTGCACGTGTTAGGTATATAAATAAAATGGTATTATTGAGATTGTTCTTGAAATTGAGAAAGAATTAAAACCCTTATACCAAAAGCACCCTTACAGATTTATTCGGCCATATTCCTAGACAGTAAAATATGACAAAATGAAGATCAAATTGCACTAGTTAAGGCTTAAAGTTTCTATTTTAAACCTCATTTTTTTGTGACAGCTTTACTTCTTTATTGTTGTTGTAAATGGGGCAGGAAGGTGATGATTTCATGCTGACTTGTCTTACCTAGCATTTTGAGCATTGAACATGACGGGGCAAGGCAAAACCCAACGAGGCACAGAATTAGTGCTGTAAGTTTGGGCCGGGTTAATTGGGTTGGCTTGAAATTCGCCACTATTGGCCCTGGTTCAGCCTGACCTAAAACTTTTTGAGTTTAGGGTCGCGCTTGGCCGACTCTTTCTCCTTTAAGGCTAGCCTAGCCCAAACATCATATTTTTATAGGTTTTTGTGAAAATACCTTATAAAATTCTGAGTTGAGCTGGTCTTCAACTTTTTGGACTTAGGGCCAGGCTGGGCCGACCCTTTCTCTTTTAGAGTTGGCCGGCCTCGTCCGGCCCTAAATTTACCTTCGGGTCGGGCTGGGCGGCCCAAATTTACGCCTCTATACGGGATCCACCCAAGCCCATGACCTGCTTACATGAACAACGACGACGACAACAACAATAATAATAAAAGAGCATTACTATGAGGCACCGGTAGTATTAAACATCATTTATTAATAAAAAGTGGATCCCGCAATATGAGATTCACAAGTAGGGTATATTTTTTTATTAGTAATGGTTCGTAACAGCAGTTGTGTTTCTAAGCATTGTTTATAATAAACACCTCAAAGTTAAAATTCTCCCTCTATCTTCGACGACCATCTCCACCTATCTCTCTCTCCTTTAAAACAACACCATTGCCGTCATAAAGGCTGAGTCCCATGGTCATTTATCTACTTTACGAAAGAAGAATGGACATTGTTGAACCTCTACAACAACAAAACTGTTACGAAATTGCAGCTTGAAGTCAATATCCCCACACTAAAAAAGCTCGCCCGATTTGCCCATTCATGGCCATTAATTCATTGGTTGCATCTCGATTTCACCGGTAACGATGTCGTGACGTCCCTCGCGACCTAGGCACGAAGCTGATCCCAGAATAATAATATACACTCGGTAGCAAAGATATTGAATGGCACAAGAATGGGAGAGCAAGTTATAGAAAGTTATGTTCCCACTAGTCATTTTGACACTACTCATAGTGTCTTTAGTACATTTTACATTTCAAAAGTTGCATAATGGCTTCAATTTTTGTTGGTTCCCACATTATCATTATAGGAAGAAAATTGACTTAGAGAAGGTGATTTGTTTTTACTTCTTTAAAATTTCAACTGTTTTATTTAATTATAATCATTTTGTAGATCAAGAACTTCTTCATGTGTAGCAACTCGGTGTTAGTTTGTATTTAATTGGATAGTCCTAATTAGACCAAAAACATTTTTAAACTTGTCCTTAAAGCATATAATGATTGCAAATTAAGGCAATTCCTCTTTGAAATAGGCTTTAGAATGGTGATTGTTTGTATCCTCACTTTAGTGATAACTTCGATGATAGCTCTTATGTATTATTCATGACCATCATCAGAAAGATCCAATTACATGAATTTTCAAGCTCAAAGTCATACAATAATAAATTACTTGTGAAACCTCAACTGGCTCCAAGATACTTAAGGGCCCTTCAGTTCGCTGATTTGAATTTTTAATTCGAGTTGAGATGTGACTTTATGTGAGAGCTTTTTACTGTAGTAAAAAAGTTAGATGTGACTAATTCTGAGAGCTTTTTACTGTAGCAAAACTCGAATCGGTAAAATGAACGGGACCATCTAAATCCTTCTTTATTATTACGAACAAACCTAATCAATTGTTCTCACTAACTTTAGATGACTTGATCATTCACCAAAGTCATCGATTTCTTAATAAAGATTGTTGAGTATAAGAAAATTTCATCTTGTATAAATGAGTACAGTGACCTTAAAAAGCTTTTGGAGATCTAGTTGAAGGTGAGAGATATATTGGAGAACATGTAGATTCAAACCTTAAAAACTAATCAAGCCTTGTTTAGTTGTGTTATTATGTAGACTGAATATGTCAAAATTTGTAATGATGTTGATCGTTGTAAAAGTGTGATAATTTATTATGAACATTGAAGTAAAATTCGAATACAGGATTTTGGCAGTAATTTTGAATCACTTGCAACCTTATTCAAATCTAGTTAACCTATGTAGGACTCCTAGTTTGAAATTATTTGTGGTAAGACTATCTAAGGACTGTTAAGTGTGAAGTAACTCAAAATTAACAATGATTACATTTTTAACCCCAGTTTCAAGGCCATTAAGGTTCAAGATCAAATACCAAGGAAACAGTTGATAACGTGGAAGGTGGTCTAGACGGGTAATGATCACTTTCTTGTTGAAGAGCATCACAACTTAACCTATTACTGCTTATGCGATTTTTGGATTAGATGTGATGTAACGTTGGGTTATCGGCTCTTTACTTGAGTCCCACATCAGTTTGTGAACTAAGAGGCTGTTCGGCAGCTATTTTTTGAGTCAAAAACTCAAAAAAAATAATTTGAGTTATAATTTTATTTAAATTTATATTTTTTAAAGTTTGAACTCGAATTTGGGATTAAAATTGGAGTTCAAGTTTCTCCTTCAACTCGAGTTTAGAAACTCGAACTCAAATTAATGAACAATATTTTTTCTATTCTTAAAAATGTTATAACTTTTTTGTTTTAATTCTGATTGAGATGATTTTTTTTTATGCGTTGACAACGAAAAGACGAATAAAACCCCACCCATATACCCTATTAAAATTTTTCATCAGCATTGAGTTTTTATTAAAATACTATATAAATACAAATTTAAGTTTTTACTCATTCAAACACAAACTCAAAAAGATTCTTATCTCAAACCATAACTCAAATGTACACAACCAAACACAAACTCAAGTTACAATTTTAACTCAAGTTATAATTCAAACTCAACTCAAAATCTAACTCAAATCATCTAACTTAAAATCTATACTCAAATCACGTAACTAAAAAAAGGGCAAACAAACAGTCTGTTGTCATATATAAGCTTATAAATAGGAGCACAATATGTCATTCTCATAATTAGTTTGTCAAGTTTTTGTAATCTAACGGAGATAAAACGGGCACTCCAATTCTTAAACATTTTAAGCTCGTAGTGGGGCACTTCAATTTTTAAACATTTTAAGTAATGTTTGTTCTATTATTTTAAACATTTTGGGCTTGTTCTTTTAAGTGAAAAACTCAAAAAAAAAAATAATTCGAGTTATAATTTTATTCGAGTTCATGTTCTTTTAAGTTTAAACTCGAGTTTAAACTCGAGTTCAAATTCGAGTTTAGGACTAAAACTCGAGTTCAAGTTTCTCCTTCAACTCGAGTTCAGAAACTCGAACTCAAATTAATGAACAGTATTTTTTCTATTCTTAAAAATGCTATAACTTTTTCGTTTTAATTCTGATTGAGATGATTTTTTTTCTATGCGTTGACAACGAAAAGACGAATAAAACCCGACCCATATACCCTATTAAAATTTTTCATCAGCATTGAGTTTTTATTAAAATACTATTTAAATATAAATTCAAGTTTTGACTCACTCAAACACAAACTCAAAAAGATTCTTATCTCAAATCATAACTCAAATGTATACAACTAAACACAAACTCAAGTTACAAATTCAACTCAAGTTATAACTCAAATTCAACTTAAGAATTATACTCAAGTTAAACTCCAGAAAAATAAGTCCTTTTAAGTTCGTAGTGGGGCACTTCAATTTTTAAATATTTTAAGTTTGTTGTATTATTTTAAGGTTCGTTGTATTATTTTAAGGTCGTTGTATTTATTCCTACAAGATGAAATTTTCTTATACTCGCTACAAATACACTCATGACTTTGTTGCAAACTAGTGGACATGAATTTTTCCATAAAAAAAACAACGCTTTTGAAATAGTTATAATATAAGGCCCGTTTATTTTACCGATTTGAGTTTTGTTATAGTAAAAAATTATTAGAAATAGTCATATTTAACTTTTTTGTTATAGTAAAAAGCTCTTACATAAAGTTATATCTCAACTCGAATTAAAAACTCGAATCCGCGAACTAGACATGCCCTAATTGTTAAGAAAACTTTCTTTTGTTAGGAGATGACTAATTATTAGTTTACTAAATTTTTGGATCTTGGAGATGCAGCTGATTTGGTAGTTACTTCAAGCCGAAGTGTATTTTAACTACTACTAATATTTGTCACATCGTCATAGTTCTACATTTTAAGATGCTTGCTCTATTCTTGAAAGTCCCTTCTGTAGGAAATATTGCTTAAAAATGAGATACTGTGGAAAACAGAAACGAGGTCGAGGCGTGCTAAGCACTGTCCTTAAGGATAGGCTTCACGGTGGCCTAACCTCCAGAATACAACGACCTGAGCTTTGTAAGGGTGCACTTCAAAATACTCAGCTCTAGAACAATTATATGGACTTTAAACCTTTAGCGAGAGTGGAAAGACAGAACAAATTTTGGAACATGTTTTGCAATTTTTATGGCTCAGAATCACAAACTACGAACAAGAGAATTATATCTATGGAAATAACATGAAAAAAAGGTGTATTGAACTCTTGTCGCAAGTTTTTCTTTTGCATTTTTGAGTTGAGTTTGAGTTATAATTTGAGTTAAAGTTGTAGTTTGAATTTATTTTTAGATGTGCACATTTGAGTTATGAGAATCTATTTGAGTTTGTATTTGAGTGAGTCAAAACTTAAATTTGTATTTAGATAGTATTTTAATAAAAACTCAATGGTAATGAAAAATTTTAGTAGGATATATAGGTGAGATTTTATTTGTCTTTTCGATGTGAATGCATAGGAAAAAAAAGCATCTCAATCAGAATTAAAATGAAAAAGTTATGACATTTTTAAAAATAGAAAAAATATTATCCATTAACTTGAGTTCGAGTTTATGAACTCAAGTTGAAAGGAAAACTTGAACTCAAGTTTAGCCTCAAACTCGAGTTCAAACTCAAATTTTATAAAAGAAGATAAACTTACATAAAATTGTAACTCAAGTTTAAACTTTTTTTGAGTTTCGTCGTAAAAAAAAACAACCCTGTAGTCTCACGGGTTTGCTATCACGGCAAGCATTTGGAACGTCAATTGAAAACTTTAGTAAATGAAGTTTCGTTAAAGCTTTTTAGCTTGATATATAAGCTTGTAATTAGCTTACACGATATATGAAGGGTCACTCCGAGGAAAGTCTCGACTCTCTCTCTCGGCAAGGTGAAGGAAGTTGCATGGAAGTTGTCTCAAGACTTGTTTTGTAATGACAAGTATCATGGATAAGATAAGGCATGATAGTCAACAAAGTTAAGCCAAGAACAGCTAATAATAATACCCAAAGTTGCCGGGCATGACAAGTAGGTGGTGCATGGGATTGAATAAAATAAACACCTCGTTCATTTTACATATTTAAGTTTTTAGTTTTATATTTATATAGTTAAAAATTATTAAAAAATGTCACATTTAATTTTTCTGTTACAGTTAAAAACTCTCAGAAAATATTATATCACAGTTTAAATTGAAAACTTAAATTTACGAAGCGAACGAGGCCAAATTGTATGAACACTTCTCGGAAGATATTTTCTCTACACTTTGAAGCCAACTGAGTATTTATTCCAGAAATCCCAAGCTATGATGGACCCCGCAAATATTTGAAATATTTAATCCAACAATTAAAAATACAACACCTTCTTTAATGAATGATCTGTTTATGTTTTGAGGCATGCTTACTTTTGCCTTGGAGGATAGACAATGCCTTTGGTGGTTACTGGTTAGAATCTGAACTATATTTTTTGATTGTCACTTGAAACAATTTTTCATCCTAATTTCTATTCTAAAAGACAATGTTGTTCTCTTTTGTGATTTAGGCAATGCTGAACCTTAGACTTTCTGAAATGTCCAATTACAGAGCTGTGTTGAATCATCGATTTGTCAGTGTCATTATAGGAACCAAATGAAAAATTAAAATCTATTTTTAAATTGAGCTATATCAAAATGGTGTCTCATGAAAATGAAATGAAGTTTCGTCAGGGTTGCTTCGCCCAACAATGGAAGTTGTCACTTTTTTTCCAACTATTTTTTGACTTAAGATTTCAACAAGGGGACATAATGGCCGTGTTTGAAATTAATTCCGTTTTTATTTTTCACGTTTTTTAAAAAAAATGAAAACGTTTTTAAAACAGCGTTTGGCGCAATAAAGATAAAAAATAAAAATAAAAATAATTTTTTTTAATTTAGTGTAAAATGAGAGAGAAATGAAAAACGACTTTTAGTCGTTTTTTATTTTTTGTTTTCGTTTTCTCATCTTTCGAGCAGAGAGAAAGAGACAGAAACATTAATGGGTTTTTTTTATACTGAAAATAATCTCTTAATAAAATTACCAAACGCATTTTTAAAAATGATTTCTGTCTGAGATTGAAAACTTTTTCATTTTTATTTTCATATAAAAAATAAAATTATTTTAAAACGAGTTCTAAACGCGCCCAATATGCTTACATAGTAACACTGTTTTTTAGCCATCCATACAGACGCCTCCTCTTTTACGAATTTATTAATTATTAATGCATCTCCTTAAAGTACAAAATGAATGTTTTAATATCAAATTTTAAAATTAGAGTATGAAAATCATTATCTAATTAAGTGTTATGTTATATTTGATATCAAATTTAACACTAAATTTAATATATATCCATTTCGACGTTCCATTATGGGCTTTTCTAATCACTATTATAATATTATTATTTTAAAGATATTTTAAAATTAAAGGTTTATTCTCACATTGAATATGCTATTAAAAAGTTATTTTCACTTTTTCACCTTTTTTTTTTTTTTGTACATTAAGAATGGTATGTAATTTCTAATGCAAAGGCAATGTTTATTTCACACCAAAAATGTGAGATTAACAAAAATATCTAAAATATCTAAAAAGAGAGGAAAAAAATTCAACACAATCCAATAAATTAGAAGAAAAGAGACAAATACATTCTAAAAATATATGAGTCGAGATTTTTATATTTTATTTTCTATTAATAACTTTTTTAGTTAAATAATTATACTAATAAAAAGATATTAATTAAAAATTGAGTAAAAATTTAAATCTATTACACTTTTAAAAATAAATTCATAATTTTCTCTATTTTTGTTATTTCTATAACTAATTTAAAAAACTATAAAGAAAGAAAAATTTTCATTCTGCACATGCCTATATAAAGTAAAACCATTGAGTCCGAATGCTAAAGCTCGAAGCCTCGAACACATAGAGCTTAAACCCAAGCTCCAACACCATTGAGTCCTAATGCTAAAGCTCCTCCCATGGCGTCCATCGCCTCCCAAAACCCAACCAATTTTCAACACCTCTCGCCTCTTCTCCCACTCTCTCCGCCGCCACGACGACGGCGACGACGACCCTCCTTTCTCTCCAATCTCCAAACCCCAACAACCCACGAAGAAGAAAAACAACAAGAAGAAGAAGGATCCTGAACCGAGTCCAAGTCCGAAGAAAGCTCCGACCAAACCTCTGAAGTCGGACCTTCCCTTCGACTTCAGGTACTCGTATTCCGAGACCAATCCCTCCGTGGAGCCCATCGGGTTCCGAGAATCCCCTAAGTTCTCTCCTTTCGGACCGGGCCGGCTCGACCGGAAATGGACCGGCACCGCCGCCCCGGCCCAAGGGGAAGTTGACCGGGTTAAGGTGGCGGAGGAGCGGAGACGGATTCTCGGAGAGCCGCTTACGGAGGAGGAAGTTTCGGAGCTGGTCGAACGCTACCGCCATAACGACTGTGCTCGCCAAATCAATTTGGGTAACTTTTTCAATTCATTTCATGTTCTTTGCATTGACGACTTGTTCCCCTTTTTTTCGCAGATTCGAGTTTGATAACTGAATTGAAAAGTGAAATTACGTGTTACATTTGAATTTTTATAAGAAAATTGCTGTAGCAAAAAAGTTTTGAGTTATTTTGAAATTTATAATAATCCGTACTGTTGAAGTCAACTTCTATGTGTTACCAAAGAAAAAAATCGTGATGAACTGATAAAATTCTCTTTTTTTTTTTTCTTTTTTTTTGTATTAGGGAAGGAGGGAGTCACTCACAACATGTTGGATGATATCCATAACCATTGGAAGCGAGCTGAAGCTGTGAGGATCAAGTGTTTGGGTGTGCCAACTCTTGATATGGACAATGTCTGCTCTCACCTTGAGGTTTGGAATTCTTGTGGTTTCTATAGGCCCATTCTTTTCGCGGGTTAAGAGGGAAAACGCTTTAGTAAAAAAGTTGATGAATTTTTGTGAGAAAAAATACTGTAGTAAAGAGTTTGAGTCGTGACTTAACTTGTGAAAGGAACGGGGCCACATATGTATATGTCTTTTATTCTTATTTTTGGATTTGCAGAAAGTATTAGCTGATAGAGATATTAGTGCTGCTCTAGGAAAAATCTGGCGGGAAGATTATTTACCGGCACATCAATGTCCTGCTCATATACGGGGGTCGGAACTACGATCCCAAGAATCGGCCGGTTATACCTCTGATGATGTGGAAGCCCTATGCACCCATTTACCCAAAGCTTGTGAAGAATGTTGCTGATGGCTTAACATTTGAGGAAACCAAGGAGTTGAGAAACAGGGGACTAAACTCTCACCCCCTTATGATACTTAGTAAGTCAAACTTGTTTTATGGAGTCGTGGATGATTTTTTTTTTCTTCGTGTTTTTCATTGTAACATATGGAAATTCAGAGGTCAATGGTGTGGAAATGCGATTTAAATGAATCGAATCTTGTTGGTGAATGTCGTTTGCCGCAGCCAGGAATGGCAATTATGTGAATGTTGTGGAGAGAGTAAGGGAGGCGTTTAAGACCGAAGAGGTAGTGAGACTCGACTGCAAACATGTTGGTACCACTGACTGCAAAAGGATAGGCGTGAAACTAAGGGTATAGCATACGCTTGAAACTTGAACTAGGTTATAGAAGTAAGCTTGGCCATTTTAGTGGTTTTGGGTTTCTTTTCTAATCCAATCTATGGGTACTACTTTTTGTTTCTGTTTTTTCCAGGATCTGGTACCCTGTGTGCCTATATTATTCAAGGATGAGCAGATCATACTCTGGAGGGGAAAAACAGATAATGACAAGACTGATGAGGATTGATGGAAGTTAATACATTTATATGCTGAAAAATGATTGGTCCATTATTCAAGAGTTTCCTGAACTAGGGCTTCCAACTTCCATGTCAGCTCGTGGATGCAATTGCTGATTCGCCCGGCACGATCAGAGAGACTGAGAAAGTGAGAGTGAGAAACCATTCCACATGATAAGATGATTCTTTGAATGATTTTTATTTGATTCCTTTTCAACTTCTTGGTGGATAACCTAGATGTAGAATTTAGGTGACAAATGTTTCTTGGAGGGAATTGCTTGCTTACACATGAGTCTCATCTTCATATAAGCACTTTGTGCATTTAGGACATGGAAATCTTTAGCATTAGGATAACCTGAACCTTGCCCGTCATGTAAACTAGGAAATCAATGCGGTTTAAGTTAAATTTTATATATTTATTTATTTTTCATTCTTATTTGCAGTGCATCAGTAACTGTCATAAAATTTACTCAATCGGTCGTCTCAACAAGTCAAATTTTGCAAGTGAAACTATTATGCTTTTGATACATGGGGACATACTATGTTGATGAATGTGTTCTTTTGTAAGGTGTTTGTCTTCTGCCTAGATATAAAAAGCAACTGATAAGAACTCTATATTAACTCAATAACAGAACAATACATATGCTTCATATACAAATGAGTTGCAGATAACGTACAAAGAGAGACAGTGACAAAGTTGATTTAATTCTTAATCAATCTACTTAACTCTCTTGGCTAGTTTTTATATGGAGCTTAATTCATTCATTGTCCTTCCAAGCAAATTAGAGGACAATGGTATTCTGAAATTTTAAGCAGCTATAAAACATTCTTATAGCCATATTGCCATATTTACATAGAATCCTTAACAAGACAAACTTCAATCTTCATGTAGTTCAACCGAGTCAACCTTGTTAGTTTTATGGTGCCAAAAGAATCTTCCTCAGTTCATGTCTCTTCTCAGCAACACATCCTGAACTAGCCAATGAGGTTATCCAAACTTGATCAGACCTTACCGGCTCATCATCATCATTCCTGTGCCAGCTCCAAAAGGCATGAGTTGAATTCACCATCCTCAGCTCACCATGGCCGAAACTCGCTTCGCGGAACTCAGACCACTCGGGTTGTGGGTTTAGGTAGCTGACAATTTTACCAAGGATTTATCTCAGTTCTAAATAAAAATCAATGAAGAAAAGAAGCAAAGACCTTGTAAATGTTGAAATTAAAATATACTTCCTAAGCATGATGTTTAGGAATCTCACTTCATGCGTGAGAGCCTTGAACAAAGTTTTGTACTTAATTAACAGAAATTTTGGGAACTTATAACAAGTAATGACTTACTTGTGAGCTAACCCTTCTCTGTTTCCCCCATCACCAATGGTTATGTGAACAGCACCACAAGGATCTGATATTCCATTGTTGACTCGTTTCTGTCAAACCGAACCAAACTATTAAAAGAAAAGCAACGTAGATTTAAGCTGTTGAAAAGAATAACTGAACCACCATAGTCATACCGTGCGCTCATAAGCATGAACATGGCCCGCAAGCATTATATCCACACTGGCAGCATGAAGTAAAGGCTCCATTGTTGCCATCATATGATCTCCCTCACCATGGTGAGCCCTGTTACTGTTGTACCATGGCACGTGGAATAGCACAACAAGCCACGGCGTCTTTTTCCTGTCCACCTTCAGTAGATCAGCCTGTTTAACAAGAATGTCTGTCAAGAGACTCCCATCATATCAAATTGATTTATATCTCAAGAGTAAAATGCATTTATTTTGCAAAGAAGGGATTTTGATAACTAACCTTCAACCACGTGTATTGATCAGAGTATTTATCATAATCAGTGTATGAACCAAGCATGATAACATGAATTCTGGCAACTTCAAATGAGTAGTAAAGATTTGAACTCGAGCCACTCTCCTCATACGGCATCTTCCACCTAGCGTTGTATGATTGAAAACCATCTTTAATTAATGGAATGTATTCCTTTTCATGATTCCCTTGTGTTACCATCCATGGCCTTGCACTTGCAAGAGGCTGCACCAGCTCCCCGAAAGTGTCCCACTTGCCCTGCACATAGTCAGCATATGAGAGGTCCCCGGGAAGTAAATGCAAATCATACTTGCACAGATCAATGTGGTCTAGTGTCGACTTCGTCCAGCCAGTTTGTCCCAGATCCCCCGCCACGGCAAAGGTTATCGGGAACTGAGCTGGCGGGGTCTTGAACTGAAACCCGGGGCCTTGTCCTCCACATCGGTAAAAGTAAACGGTGTTAGGTTCCAAAGGTCCAATGACAGTATGGTGTATCTTTCCTGAACTGTAGAACAGGTAATCATAAGAGGTACTTTCCCCTTGATTTACAGAGAGGTATCTGCCAGGTGATGTCCCGTATTCAACAACCGACGGAGCGAATTTGTCATCAGTGGTCCACGTGATTCGCATGTGGTTGTCTCCGGCCAGAGAGATGTGCACCTGCAAGTGGGATTATTGTTGCAAAGGTACATTATAATAAATCTCTACAAGTAAACTTGAAGAGCTTGAGAACAATGTGCTCAAAGGTGACCAATGAAATATAGAACAATAACAATAGTTGCAGTTAGGACAAATTAATATCAACATACTTAAGTAACCAACTAACATAAAGGAAAAAAAAAAAAAAAAAACACTAAATATAGAACATACACTACAACTTCTAAACCAGAGGCCCTTTTTGTTTGTCCCTGTTTTGGAAAATTATTGGTCAAATCTTATGCATCTGAACAATTTTTTGTTACATTAAGCTACAGAGAAAAAAAAATAATAAAAAAATAAAGCAGTAAAAGGAAGGCAGCTAGCTTTTCCACTGTTGGACAAAACCCAATATCAAAACTTGTTTGTATAATCCATCAACCAAAAGAAAAAAAAAATAAAAAATAAAAAAACCAATTTACCCAATAGATCAAATTGTAAAACAAAAAATACTAATTAAAAAAAGGATATCAGAAACTCAATAGGCAAACCATTTTCCAGACAGAACAAAGAGAGACCAAACTACACAAGCAAGCAAGATTCAATCAGATCACAAGAAACCCACTTCTAAAACAGCATAACCCAGAAAAAATTCGATTGTTTCCAGAGAAAATTTGAAGACTTTTACAGCAATGAATTTCAGTGATTCACACACCTGCTGAGGATAAGAAGAAGCTTTTCTTGACCATGGGAAGTGAAGTGTCTTCCGTGGAAGAGGTCGAACATATTCAGCTTCGACGGTGACAACAATGGAAGAGATTGTTATCAAGCAAAGTACAGTCAAGAACATCATGGGTTTTGGTTTTGGATCCATTAATCGTTTTTTCTCTGCAAAAGTCCGTGATAAGGATCAGATTTTCTTTTAATTTTGTCGCCGACCAAATACTTCATTTTCTAATTTGGAATCTCTTTTGGCGAACTTACTAAACTGCCCTAGTACTTTTTGTTGTTTCTGGTGGTGATTGGATGACTTGACTTGTTGTCTACGCATGAACCGTGCGACACGGTGATAAAAAGTCCAACTAAAGTCCAACTACTTTTTCTAATTCAATATTCCTTTTATATTTTTAACCCGTTTAGTTGAAGCCTTTAAGTTAAAATTTTAATTCTAAATTTAAATTTTATGATAGAATTCATTAATAAAAACGTTTTTATTCAAAAAATTTTTGAAAAAAAATATTATAATAAAATTTTAATTTTAATTTTAAATGCGTGAATTAAATAGACTTTTTATGTTCTCATATTGTGTTAAGAGAAGAAAAATAGGAGAACTTGTGTATTAATTTATTTGCAAGTTACAAATAAATCATGATTTGATGGATATTATTATTCGGGAGTAAGGGACAGCAATAGAGTTGTCAAACGTGCTGTGTCGGGCCGGCACGACACGCTTAATACTAAGCCCATTATGGGTTTGGGCCGTGCCTAGCACGGCCTTACACAGTGCAGGGCCGTGCCTGGGCCGGGCCTGAGAAGAAAAACTCAGGCCATTGGCCTTAGTCCATAAGGGCCAGGGCCGGGCCTGAGCCTAGGCCCTTCACGGGCCGGCCCCAGCCCTTGTACTTTTTTTAAAATTTAATTAAAAAAATATATCATATGCCCAAAAAAATGTGATTTTATTGAATTGACGTAATAGGAGTACACATAAATGACTGAATCGTTAAAAATCTTGCTAAGTAAAACCCGTGGGGAGATCAGGACAAAACCTTAGTGAAGGAGAAAAGAGTGCAGTAGCTAGGAATAGTAAATTACAAACCTAAGTGCTTCCAGAAGATTCTGTTATTTGTAAGTTATAAAAATATTCTTGCATCGAATCATTTGTGTATTGTTGTTTTTGTCTTCTCGCATCTTCCCAGTCTTTAACGCACATTAGTCCCTCCAAGATATCTGGATGCACTCTGCTTCTCTTCTCGTCAAGAATTCAGTTGCTTGCGCTAAAAGCTTGCTCTGATGCTACCGTTGACACTGGAGTTGTCAGAATGTCACGAGCTATTATGAACAGTGTTGGAAAACGATCGGTCTTGCTCTTCCATGCACCACTGTAAGATGTCTAGTTTGTCGTCATCATTACAAAATTTGCTTCAAAATATTTTACTAGTTTCGTAGACGCTTGTGTTGAGGACGATCCTGTTGTTTTCTCTTTCTTCTTCAAGAAACTCCACGACGATCCTTTAGGCCCCGAACTGATAGTTGACGACGAAGTTCCCTGTTCTTTTTTACCTGTGCTGTATTTTGTTTCATACAAACTAAAAATCTTTTCTAACATTTTCTTAGCGTCAGTAATACTTAGTTGCATATTTATTTCTAAATTCTTTGCGGTAGCAGTCATCAATGATTCAGTTCCATCTACTCCGCACCTAGGATCTAAAATGGTTGTCAATGCATATCACATAGGACAACCTAACCAATAACTTTTAAATTTATTTTCCATTAACTTAACTATATTTCCAAAAAGTTATGTATCCCTATAATAAAAAAATGTTTATGAAATATTAAATAGTTGATGTAAAGCTAAATGTGCAGTAGGATAATAAACTCCAGAAAGCAATTCAGTAGCATTGTAAAAAACTTCTAGAAATTTAAAAAACTACTCAACAATCTGCCAATCAGGATCAAAAATTAAAATTTGATCGTTCTTACTGTTTACGTATGTCGTGATAAGCTGTGAATATGAGAGTGCTGCATTCAACATTAAATATGTTGAATTCCACCTATGTCTCACGTTAGTTAGAAATTTTCTTGGGTGCATATGACTGTTCCTGCAATATTGTTTGAATTCTTGGAGCCAAGCTCCAGAACTAGATATGAATGAATGATTCTCTAATATTTGTAAGATTAGCTGAGATATGTTCAATTCCTGCCTGAACTACTAAATTAATTATGTGACATGCACACCGTTGATGAAAAATTTCCCCTCCAAGTGCTGGTTTCAAACTACGTTTAAACTGATTAATTGCAGTCGTATTAGCTGACGCATTATCAAAAATAATTTTTAAAACTTTATCTTCTATCCCATAAAACCAAAAAATTTCCATTATTGTACTAAAAATAGATGATGCGTTATGAGGATATGGAGATAAATGAAAACCAATTATTCTTTTTTGTAAAACTCAATCGTCATCAACGTAGTGCGCTGTGAAACATAAATATCCAGTTTTATTGCACCCCTCCCACAGATCAAAAGTGTAAGAGACAGTAGCATTAAAAGTCCTAAAATTATCAACACGAGATTGTCTCATTGCATAAAAAACTTTCATGCAATCAGAACGAGTTGTGTTTCTACTTACTCATTTAAATTGTGGGCAAAAGGCTGTCTGGATGAATTCTTTGAACGAGGCATCATCTGCAAAAGAAAGAGGCAAGTCGGCACTAGCTAGAAATTTAGCTAGTGCCTCACGAGCACATTGTGCATCGTATGTAAAATTTTGTAACCCCTGTGATGTGAGTGATAGTGTTTATTGGCAGGAGTCCACACTCCCCACCTTGGTGCAACGGCAGACATACTTTCTAATGTCTATCCAGATGACCAGTACCCCCACCATTTTTATTAGAAAAGTACTTTTTACAATATTTACATACCGCACGAATTTTCATCTCACCTGTTTTTGGATTTGGTCGGGGCTCCTCGGTGAAATGTTGCCATGCCAGAGAAGTTCGCGGTCTTTTTCCTCTGTTGCGTTCTCCAGCTTCCTCGTTGCGTACTGAAGCATTATCCACCGGAGCATTTTCTGGTTCAGTGGGGGTGGGAGGCATCATTTCTTCCAAAAAAATGTCTCATCACCAAGCTCAGGAAGAGCAGTGAAATCAAGGAAGTTTAGTGCGGTCATTTTCTGAAAATTGATAGAACTTGATTGAACTTTGTAAATGAAAGAGTAAGAAAATGAATGAACGCGAGAAAAAAGCTTAGAATCAAAATCAAAGAGACAAGTTGAGAGATAGAATGAGAGTGAGATGAGAAGTTGAGAGTGAATTGTTATGTGAGATTTATGGTGGAATTAAGGGGTATTTAGAGGGAATTTTGAGGTGAAATTCTGGATTCTAGCCGTTAGGCCCTTCGCGGGCCCAACGTGCGGCACGTGACGGGCCTCCCATTTGGCCCGTCACGTGCCAAACGGGAGGCACATGACAGGCCAAACGGGAGGCCCGACACGTGTCGCCCGTTGGGCCTGCGAAGGGCCCGCTGGACCAATTGAAATGGGCTGTTTCATGGGCTGTTTCGCGGGCTTAGGCCAGGCCGAATCAGGGCTTGGGCCAGGCCGAACAAAGGCCGTGCCGCGGGCCTCCACGTGCTTGGGCTGTGCTTGAGCTAGGGCTGGCAGGCTGAGAAGTTGAGGCCCAACCCTAACCCATTACACGTGCCGGGCCAGCACGGCCCGTAACAATAGCGAACCAGACTGTGCTAAATCTAACACTATTACGTGCTGGGCCGGGCCGTCCATAGACGGCCCGGCCCATTTGACACCTCTAGACAGCAAGCGCCCTAGAATTTCTTTGTGCTGGACGTTTTAATTGTTAATTTACACGCTATTTGAGCTTAAAATTCACGTAAAGAAACTTATTCAAATAATTAGTTTATAAATAGCACCATTTTTTCGGACTTTTATTTTTGGTACTGCCACGTAGGATGCTGAATGGGAGGTGAGATTGAAATGTCATAAAGCCCCCGATTGATGAGCAAAAATCCTCAGCTTATGTCACTTTCCCTCCAAACTGTCTCTTTCCTCATTAAATTGCCGCTCATTCCTCCACGTATAAATAGTCTTTCTCTCTCTTAGTTTATCTCCCTCAGCTCATTATCCAGCTTTCTCTATCCTCTCCCTTTCATTATGATTTACGACCAGATCCACATCCAAAGAAGCCATTGCCACTGTGAATCGTTAGATTGCAGTTATTATCGCCGGATCTGAAAGAATCAAGTCATTTTTGAAGTTTTAAAGGTGAGTAATAACCTTAAATATTTTCAGTTTCTTCTTAAATATTTATTTTCTTGGGTTTGTGTTGAACACGTGAAAAATTTGTGAAAACGGCTACGGTTATGAGGAGTATTTCAAGGAGAAATATTACTGGGCTTACTATTTTAGTCTAGTCTTTCACAAAAGTTTTTATTTTAGGTTGGAAATATTGGATTAATCATGTTTGTAGCCAGAAAATTACTGGGCTGATAATACGAGTCATGTATCTCATGAAACTCCTCCTTTTAGCAACAAAATATTGGTTTAAGCATGTATTTTAGGTAGAAAATTACTGGGCTGAGAGTATATTAGGTCATCTTTATTATAACCACTGGTAATATAATAAAGATAATACGAGTCATCTTTATTATATTAGGTCTCCTTACGAATCTCGCGAATTTCAGCGTGGCTAGGGATGTTCAGTTCAACAATACTCTTGGGCTTGTGAGAGAAAGTCTCCCCCTTCTTAATCTTCTCTCGTGAGTAAAGCATCCTTATATCTTCTATCTTCTTCTCATCTTCGGTCGGAACAAGGACATAACATGTAGGCTGCAAATTCTATTTTTATTAAATGAGTAAACTACTATATAACCATAAGTAATATAAAAAAATTATCCTCAGTAGTAGTAAAAATTACCCTCGGTAATATACAAAATGACCATGAGTAATAGTCAAAATTACCTGATATTCAGGATTTGTTCCGACACTTCTCTCACTTTCAGAAAAGATGGTTGCTCCGTTATTGAAACCCATTTGACCATTCTAAGAATGGCCCGCTGACAACCAACAGCAAAAAAATTGTGCTATTGGCAGAATGCTCTCGTACGCCCAGACTAATAAGGCATGAGGAAATCCCGATAGTGTGTAGTGCATTCCATTACCCTTTCCTTTCCCACTGACCTTGTTCATTACCACACTCCTAATG